AACATTATTTTGAAATAACGCTAGTACCCTTTGTCTATCTCAAGCCATGGGGAATGCCTCGTTGTCAAAGAAGTTTTTTCCTATTGTTTGCAGATTAAAAAAGCTCAGTGCTTCCTTGAACAGTACCGCACAATTCTCAGTGTAGAAACTGCACTCCCTATTAGCTATTTAAAGATTGTATTTGGGACAATTAAATACAAATTCTGTTCCTTTGCTCCTAGATTTAAATGAAGGTGAGTTTGTTTGAAAAAGAGGTCAGCTTTTTAAAATGGCCTTCAGCCTTAAAACTACAAGTATAATTTCTGCTTTTAACTTGTTGATTACCCTATTTTTCATAAATAACCAGGTCAACCAACCTTCTGCATCTGAAAAGATAAATATCGTATTATACATGCAAACTGGTTAACTAGATGCCTGCCTATAGGATTTGGGCATGTAAATGAAATTAGTCCTCTGGAACATTCTACAGCTGTGTACTTTTGGGGTAGAAGCTCTGGTCTCCCCTAGTCAAGAATTAGGGTTACTGTCCCCACCCCCCAGCAGAGCAACACAGACACTGAACCAGCTCAGCTCTGGAAGGACATAGCTATAAAGCAGTTGACAGCACCCAAGAACCCATCCCTCAAAAAGGACCAAAATCCCAAATAAATCCATTTTACACTGTATAAGTTTTACACAGAAAAGCCTATACATTCACCCTTTTTATTAAGGAAAGAGTTATGTAAAAAGTGGTTGCTCCCCCCTCAGTTAACAGTTTTTAATACTGGACTTAATAATAAAAAATGTTTTTATTAAGTATAGAAAGTAGGATTTAAGTGGTTGCAAGTGAAAACAGATCAAAGTAAGTTACTAAGCCAAAATAAGCAAAACATCCCAGCTAATTCTAATGTGCTAAGAAATTTGTTACATGCAAATTCTTATCCTAACAGTCATTCTAATGATCTCCTCCACAAGCTAAGCAGCCTCCTAGTTAGGCCCATTCCTGCCCTTGTTCAGTCTTAGACGTTTCTAGAAGGTATCTTAGGTAGTCAGTTGGATGGGGGAGGTCTCCTGGCATTTGACCACTCCTTATTGGCTCTCCCCTTTATATCCCTTTTGCCTAAGGCAGGGAACTCCTTGTGTTCAGTTCAAATTATTCTCACTTTGAGTGGAAAAGTACCAGATCTAATATGGGTTCCAGCATCAGGTGGTCTAGTCACATGGCTTTGTAGGACCAACCACAGGTTGTTGACTTGATCACCAAGCCATTAAGTTCCTAAAGCATCACTAATGGCTTTTACTAGAATACCTGGATTAAGAATATAGGTTCCCACTTAATATTTCTAATATCATATACAAGAAAGATACATGCACAAACATAGGATATCCCATTCAGGGGATCACAGGCTCTTGAATGACAGGTTACATGACCCCATTTTTCAGAAAGCATCTTTGAAATATGCATATTCATAGTCATAATCCAATTTTCATAAAGTGTGGGGGGGGGCGCGCTAAGACACTGTCTTCTTCCACATCCTACCAAGAGGAGAGGACAAGAGAAGATGCGTAGGAGTGGATTCTTTGATGTGGGATAATCAGCTGCAATGGGAGCATTCACGGAGTAGACACACCCCTGTGCCTATGGAGGTGGAAGCTGGATTTGAGCCATAGTGCCTGAAGTCTAAACTGTTAATTAAATATAATAACACCTTTTACTTTTATAGGACCTTTAATAACAACAGAAAAAGATGTAAATTGATACCTTTTTCTGGGTTTCCCTTAGCATTTGCCTTATCTTTGTGTTTCATCTGGGTTTTATATGGCTCCCATCACTACAACAAACAGGACCTCATGGATGGCAATGAATTTATATTCACAAAATATCTGCAAGGGCAGGGAGCGCTGTTCGTCCCATTTTACAGATGGGGAATGGATGTGAGGATATGTTGACACTGCAATCAAATGTTAGTTTTAATCTAACTAGCATGATAAAAAGGTTAGTTTTAATCTAACTAGCATGATAAAAATAGCAATTAAGATATAGCAATCCAAACTAGCAAACCAACTACATACCTGGGTCCTGGGGCACAGGACAGAGTGGCTCAAGAAGTTTTGCTGCCCAATGCAGACAGAATTTCTAGTGTTTCTCATACTGGCTGAGCAATTAACCCACAACAAGAAAAAGCTCAGAGACCCCTCCAGAAGTTGGAGCCCAAGGGAGAGCTCCTTGTTCACACACTCTCTAGAATCGGCTCTGCCTGGGTAGGTGTGTTCAACCTGTACGACTGTTATCTTCATTGCTATTTTTAGCATGCTATTTAGCTTAAAGATAGTGTGGGCATAAGCCTATCCAAGCTGCAATCACTCTTTCAATTGCAGTGAATAAGAAATAGCAATCATGCCTGTTCTAATGCAAATAGCATTTATTTAAGCTTCCATGTACAGGATCAACTAAGCAGCTTTAAAAATGTCCCTGAAACCTTCAAGCTACATAGCACAGATGAAGAATTGACGAGAAATTGACATGCTGCACTGTACTTTCTCTCCTTGAGAAGGCCGATAAAAATAGCATGGGAATAATGATTGTAGCAATCCAAAAGAGGCTGAGTAGGTTACCTATCTTCCTGGATTGACTGGGAGTTTTCCAGAATCTTCATCAATCTCCAAGTGACTATTAAAAACAATCCAAGAGATTTTAATAGGTTGTTAAGAGACCAGTCAGCAGCACAGCAGGGCTAATGAAGTCTCCCTACCTGCCCTACATGGCTCCCAGAAGTAGCTGACATATCAAGCTCCTAGGCACAGGGGGCGACCATAGGAGCTCTGTGCACTGCCCCCACCCTGATTGCTGGCTCTGCAGCTCCCATTGGGTGCGGTTCCTGGCCAATTGGAGCTGCAAAAGTGGTGCTTGCAGAAAAGGGTTCCATGTGGTGCCACTTAACTGTCACTGCACCTAAGGCCACAGGGACATGCTGGCCACTTCCAGGAGCTGTCCAGGGTAAGTGCTGTATCACCATGAGACCTCCTGTCATGCCCCAACACCCTACCCCAGCACTGAACCTCTCCCCAGCTCCCTCCAGGAGCCTGAATCCCCAACCCCCTCCTATGCCCCAGCCTCAGGCCCGAGGCCCAAGACTTCTCCTGCACTCCAAACTTCTCAGTCACATCCAGAGCCCCTCCTGAATCCCAAGCTCCTCATCCCTGAGTTGCCAGAGTCTGTGCTCCCAGCAGAGCCTCACCCGCTCCCATGCCACAATATCCCATCACAGCCTGGAGCTCCTTGAGCTTATTTCTGACCTCTGAACATGCTTACTGAATCTGGCCCTGCAGGCAGGACAGTTTTGGGAATGCTTAATTTGAGAAATCAGGAAGAACTCAGATACTTTGAAGCTCAGCAGTATCAGGACTGAGGTGGCTGTGTGCATGCACAGTGGTAGAAATTTGAATACCAAGACATTACTGGAGGTAACTTAGGAACCCAGGGAATTTAGGTAGCAGCTGAGCAAGGGCTTTGAGAACATAAATATTGGATTTATGTGCCTAATGTGGCAGTTAGACATCTAAATCCTTTGTGGATCCAATCCCTAGCGTTTTAAGAAGAGGATGCTAAGCACCTTCCAAAAGATACCCAGCCCTTTGCAATAGCAAACATTGAAAACAAACACACACACAGTTATCGCTTTATCTATCTCTGGAGTAGTCTGAGAACAAATGCAGCAGCTGTTTAATAGAGCATGGCACCATTACACAAACAGTTCAAGACAGGAAGTGAAGCAGAATTCTATAGCCAATTGAACCCGCAGAGGTAGAAAGAAAGTAAATAACTGATCTGGAAATTGGCCACAAGAAAAATTAAAACATTTGTCAGGAGTTCATCATACTAAGTGCACTAAACAAAACATACATGACCTGAGATTTTTAAAAAATTATTTTTAATCAGAAAATGTTGAAGCCTCATTTATGCACATTAAAAAAACCCTGTTTCAACTGTGTTAATTTTGTAGCTATACCTATAATCAGCTGTTGTAAATTGACGCAGCCCCACTGAAATCAATGGGATTATGCTGATTTGTATGGGATGAGAATCTGGGCAATTAATATATATGCTAGAGCCAGGTAAAGAAGTTTGTACTTTTAAATTTCAGGACATAATTTTTTTTTGTTGTTTTCAAGTTTGGAAGAATTTATTTGTCAGACTGTAAATATAGTATTTGGCAAAACATCTCAGGGTATTTTTAATCAATAGTTCATTTAGACCTTGCTCCAATGCCCAGTGAAGTCAATGTAAGATTTTCCATTTACTTCAATATGCTTTGGATCACGTTCATTAGCATTAGCAGGTTGATTTGATTTTATCACTGTAACTTTACATTACTAAGTCTGACAGGGCAGGTGTGTGAATTAAATGTAGCCTAAATGGAGTGCCAAACAATAGCTTGTGTCACAATAACTTGTGCAAGATGATTAAAAAGCATTTTTTGAGAATGCTCCTGCTATTTTAGCAATTTCTGTCTCAAATATATTTTTTCCCACAGACTTGTATTTTATGTATCTCTTATATATCAGACAAAATCCACAATGTTCTTAGTGATTCTGGATAAAAAAATGCAAAGTTCTATCTCTTCTCCTTTTCATAATAGATTTTTTTTTTATAAAATAGTAGGATCATAATAATGTTGTGCTTGAAATATTGTAATTGAAAACTTGTGTTGTGTTTGAAATATTAGTTATGTTTTTCACGACACTAAGGGCATGTCTATACAGCAGGGATAAACTCTGTATCTCTTGAGCTACACTAATTGTATATCTTAAGTCACAATAGTTTATTTGACTTTTGGCACTGTCTACACAGCAGTTATTTCGAGATATAGCACTCTCCCCCTGACGTCTCTTACTCCTCGGAAAATGAAGGTTACAGGAGTCAGAGTAAGCAGTCCTCCAGCTCAACATTATTTTGACATTATGTCAAAATAACTGCTGTGTGTAGACACAGACTATGGTCTTAGCTTAGATCTGCTTACCATGGGGTCCACACCACAGAGTTGATTAGGAGGGTGATTTATTGGGTCTTTATTAGACTCTCAATTGAGCGCCAGTGGATTGATCCTTGCAGTGGAGATCCGACCTGTATTGGAAACAAGCATTTAGGCTATGTCTACACAGAAGCATTATTTTGGAACGTAATAACATAACTCAAATTGCATAGCTTACATTGACCTGATGTTGCAGTGTAGACCCACGCAAATATATATAGGACATGGTGAAGTACTTCTAGAATCATGTCATAGCTTGCCAGGTACCTGGGTATAGATCACTACTGATCACACAACAGATCATTTTATTCAACTACTTGAGCCATTTCAGTAACAAACCTGTATGTCAATGACAAGTGTGCACCTTCTGATTTGAGCTTTAAAAAGACTAAGTTTTTTTTTCTTTTCTGCTATACTTTCCTCGCCTTTCTCCTAAATGTCTTTGATGTTACATTCTTGCACAATTGTTGGGTAGGAAAGATGAAAAGTGTTTTTTTTTAAATTCATTGCTCTTTGCCACTCCTTTCCTGTTTTCTAACTTAAAATCCAGCTAAACCTAGGTATTATCTTTTGGATAGGAAGCAATCTGAACTGAAAATGTCAATTGTCTCCAATGGTTACTGAGAAAAACAAATATTTCAGTAGGCACGCACCCTAATAATTGGATCTTGTAATAGCTGCAAGTACTCACTTGCACTGAGGGACCCATTCCCATACTGTTCATGTACAGCAGGACAATTAGACACCCATACTGTTCATGTACAGCAGGACAATTAGACACAAATGAAGAAAAGAAAAGAAAAGAAAAGAAAAGCTTAGCCTCTGGAATCCATATGGAATTATCATTTCTTTCTTGAAGCAAAATTATATGTCATAATGAAATTATATTGGCATTGGGCTAACAAAATCCACAGTAAAAGGGCAATATGAACACTATTAAATGGTGATGCCAGAATAGCTTTACTGTATTATTGGGTGCTCTATATCTGTTGCTTAATTAGAGATATTGGTTGAGAGTTGGTATTTCAGATTGGCTAATACAGGCAGTCCCCGAGTTACGCGGATCCGACTTATGTCGGATCCGCAGTTACGAACGGGGCCCTTCCTCTCCCTGGTCTCCAGCAGACCAGGGAGAGGAAGCAAAGTGGCGGAACACGCGGGAAGCGGACAGGGCTGTCCGCTGCCCACGTGCTCCGCGGCTTGGCTCTGCTTTGCCCCCCCCGTTCCCCTGGTCTGGGCTGTCCGCTGCCCGCGTGTTCCACCACTTTGCTCTCCCTTCCCCTGGTCTGCAGACCAGGGGGACGGGGAGCAAAGCAGAGCAAAGCCACGGAGCCCGAGGGCAGCAGGACAGCCACGGCGCGTCTGGGCTGCCCCGCTGCCCCCGTGCTCCGCGGCTTTGCTCTGGACACCTGTGGTACAGCAGCTGGGGCGCTGCCAGTTGGTCCCATAGCGCCACTCTGGGCGCTACTGGACCAACCGGGCAGCACCCCAGCTGCTCTGCCCCAGGTGTCCTGATTCAGCCACTGCTGGTCAGTTTCAGCAGCGGCTGAATCTGGACGCCAGTTCTGACTTACATACAGATTCAACTTAAGAACCTCAGGCATCCCCAAGTCAGCTGCTGCTGAAACTGATCAGCGGCTGATTCCAGGAAGCCTGGGACAGGGGCTACCTGTAGTCAGCCACTGGTCAGTTTCAGCAGCGGCTGAATCTGGACGCCAGTTCTGACTTACATACAGATTCAACTTAAGAACCTCAGGCATCCCCAAGTCAGCTGCTGCTGAAACTGATCAGCGGCTGATTCCAGGAAGCCTGGGACAGGGGCTACCTGTAGTCAGCCACTGGTCAGTTTCAGCAGCGGCTGAATCTGGACGCCAGTTCTGACTTACATACAGATTCAACTTAAGAACAAACCTACAGTCCCTATCTTGTACGTAACCCGGGGACTGCCTGTATGTGTCTTCTGAAATATAATGCTTTCATTATTTAAATCTGGTGGATGCATTTTTGAGTTACATTTAACATGATGTTTTATATGAACAATTGATCAAACATTAATATAGAGATATATTGCTGCAGCTACATATGTGAAACCTCACTGATTTTCCTTAGGATACATCTACACGATGTGGCTTAACAAGCCACCTGTTATTTTGAAATATTTTTGAAATAACTGGTGCACTATTTTGGCATCCCTGTAACCACCATTCCACGAGGGTTAAGAGATGTCTCAAAATAGCACATTATTTTGAAATATGGCATTGTGTAGACATGCCGAATTTCAAAATAAGCGCTTTCAAAATAGAATTGAAATAAGATACGCAATTTGCATAGCGCAAATTGCGTATCTTATTTCGAGCTTAGAGTGCTGTTTAGGCTCAACCTTATTTAATTGAATGGAGTTATTCTCCAGCAGCAAGTGTTTTCAGAACTGGGCTCTTATTTATAGGAAGAATGTTGTCTCTCCAAAATCTCACTAACTAGTGCTGCAATATAATTTTTGAGAGTAGTTTTTCCATGGTTTTTTTCTCCTTTGTACTCTTGAATTTCCCAAACTGGCAAAATGAAGAATAATTTTAATTTATACTGTATTAAATTATCCTTTAATTTTTAAATAAACTTTAATACTAAATGTTAATATAAAGAAAAGTCAATATTATAATCTGTTATTAATAAAAAACTGCATAGAGTATATGGAAAAATGCAATCCATCAAATAGACTATAGCCTACAAATCTCTAGAGTGTGTTATAAATCTCCATGGTTTCCCTGAATCCTTCTTGCTAGATAATAAATTTTGATTTCTGATTTAGCAGAAGCATGTGTGAAAGAACATAGTCTAAATGTAATTTACATTCACTGCAATGACTCATGATACACCTGTTTTAGCTAGCTGCATCACACTAATTTTAACACTTTGCTTAAATCAGTCATATTTGTCCAAACCATCCTCCAACTCTTTAGGAATTTGGTACCTCCAAAATTGTAGGACATTCAAACCTGGCATTCTTTACATTTTGAAGGATATAAAATAGATAGATCACTGAACTGGTAGAAATTAAGTTTGATGCTACTTCTCAGTTTGTCAAATTAATAGTATATACCCAGTTTCACAGACACAATGTGTGCAAAAATTGATTCCCAAGCGCCAGAGTCTCATAGGGTATGTCTACACTACAAAGTTAATTCGAACTAACAGACGTTAGTTCGAAGTAACTTTAATAGGTGCTACACAGGCAAACCGCTAGTTTGAAATTAATTCGAACTAGCAGAGCACTTAATTCGAACTAGGTAAACCTAATTTTACGAGGACTAACGCCTAGTTCGAATTAAGTAGTTCAAATTAAGGGCTGTGTTGCTACTTAATTCGAACTAGTGGGAGGCTAGCCCTCCCCAACTTTCCCTGGTGGCCACTCTGGGCACCACCAGGGAAACTCGTCTGCCCCCCTTCCGGCCCCAGAGCCCTTAAAGGGGCACGGTCTGGCTACGGTGCCCGTGCCAGGTGCAAGCCTGCCAGCACTCAGCCAGCAGACCCTGCACCTGGCACGGTTCAAACCAGCCACCCGCTGCCACCCAGCCCTCTGCCTTTGCCCGGGACCAGGCTGGCGGCTCCCGGGAGCCTGCCCAGGTCTGCAAGAGGCGGGAGCCCACCTGGTCTAGTGCGGAGTTTGTGGACCTCATCCACGACCTCTGCACTAGGCACTGGAAAGTGGCCGTCTAAGGCAGGATAGCTGCCAGCCTGGCCACTCAGGAGCAGGTTTGCATGAAAATCAGGGTGGTCCAGTGAGACCCCCGATCCTGAGCCTTTCTAATAGCCAGGATATTTTGATGTAAAGTTTTAACTGGTTTTTCTGCTGATGTTGTCTCTTTGGGTTGCATGTCTCTACGTCACTCAAACTGATCTCATATATTTTTTATTGGAAAATTTTGAGACACATCCAACTAGTGGGTGGATAAGGCAACAAACTTTCAAAACACACAGGCCCTGATCTTGCGAAACACTGCAGTTGGAGCTACTAGAGCTCAAAAATCTTTGGAAAATCAGGCCACTTATTTAGATGGCCTAAGTACAGAATGTTTTTGTATGGTACTCAATACTCAGGAAACTGATTTCAGACATCTAAATTTGAATTTTGGCCTTGGATTATTATAATAAATCCATATACAAACAAGCCATAAATATAGTATAAAGATACCGTTACTAAGGACACTCTGTTTAACTGTGAAAACTTTCTCTCTGTATAAGGTAGCAGCTTTGTTTTATTTCTTTTCTACAAATTAAATGCACCTACCAAGCCTGCACTTGGTTCTGGAGTTCTAAATTATTGTTTGCTTGCAAGAATTACTGATTTTAAAACACTTTTCATTACTGCTTTAAAAAAATGATATTGGATATGGCCAAAATTTTCAGACATGATTTCCTAAAGATATACTCCTAAATCTTTTTCAAATATTCAAATAGAAGTGGCCAGATTTTCAAAACCCCAGTATTCCTCATTAACGTCAGTGGGATTTGTGATGAGTTAACAGTTCTGAAAATCAGACCACTTTTGCCCTTCATTTTAGGTGTCCAGGTTTGAAAATTATGACCTATTTTCTTTCTAAATATGATGTGTGTAGAGGGAGTCAAGGTAGGAGGAGATTAAAATGGAAGACTCCCTACCCTTTTTGCTCTGCTTCACTCTTCTGATATTTGATGCCATTCACCAGGGGTCTCATAAGTGTAAAAAGTTTGGTCTTCTCTTGTTAAATTGCCACCTGCGCAGGGGGAAACTAATCCATTAAGGTCGAACCATTTTGAGAAGGTGCTGCAGTGCCTGGGGCAGCCTCTTGGGTTTCACTTCTAGCAGCTGCATGAAGATGAAGTTGGTGATGGTCCTTGTTACAGAAATTAGACAGATCAGGAAGTAAACAGAGCTTGCCTTTCATCTGATCTGGCTTTGAGATGAGAGGGTGGAGGAAAGGGCAAATTCCTCCTCTAATTACTTTACGGGTCAGTTCTCCTAGATTTATGTCAACATCGGACACTCAATCTTTAAAGATAAATTAGGAAAAAGAAAGAAAAAATTATAAACTGTTGAAGGTGTCAAGATTTTCAGTGTTGCTGATATTCGGTTTTCAGTGTCTGTGACCTTGAGGAGAATTTTTTTCCTTGAACTAGCAGCAGACAGAACTGAGAAAGATGAAAAGCTGCTTTCTTGGCATGAACTTATTGTCTCCTTTAAGTATTAAAGGCTTTGCCTTCTGTTTTCATTAGTTCTTTTCTTCTGAAGTGGATTTAGTGCTCATGAAAGGTGCCAGATTGACAGCAGTGCATATTGAAGTCCTCTGTTTATTCACAGAACAGGTACAGTCTGGGCTGCTGCAAATGGGCTTCGATATTCAGGTGGATTTTCAATACTTTCTCTGCTCTGAACTGCTCCTGTTCCTCTCATGACTTTCAGTTAAGTGGCTTCCCGTGTATTCTGCTGGAATTGAACAGCATTTGTTGTAAAGTTAGCTCTAACCCAGAACCTCATTCTAGAAATCTGCCTTTGCTCCGATTTGTAATGTAAAGGAAAATCTTGTGCTATGTAGCCCCTATTTGCATAACAAATGTTTTAAAATATTCAGTATATAGACCAATCTACAAATGAAATGTTACTTAGTTAGTACATTTATCTTTTAGATTAGGTATTCCTGTACCATCATAGGTATTCTGTGGAAATCTTCTATTTTAATCCTAGTTAGAGCTACGCCTAGACTGGCCCCAAATTCCGGAAAAGGGATGCAAAGCAGGTAAGACAGCATAGGGAAATCCGCGGGGGATATTTAAATCCCCCGCGGATTTAAATAAATATGGCCGCCGCTTTTTTTTCGGCTTGGGGGAAAGCCGGAAAAAAAGCGGCGGCCATATTTATTTAAATCCGCGGGGGATATTTAAATCCCCCGCGGATTTAAATAAATATGGCCGCCGCTTTTTTTTCGGCTTGGGGGAAAGCCGGAAAAAAAGCGGCGGCCATATTTATTTAAATCCGCGGGGGATATTTAAATCCCCCGCGGATTTCCCTATGCTGTCTTACCTGCTTTGCATCCCTTTTCCGGAATTTGGGGCCAGTCTAGACGTAGCCTTAGTGTTTTTCATATTGATTCTTAAAATAAAATAAATGGCTTAAATATGGGATAAAAAATGAAACAGTCATTGTGTATTCCTCCTCCCAGTTTATTTAGAAAATTAAAGTTTGTCAGGATGTGTTTATAAAAGTCTCCGTTTTACACAAAAACTGTTGAAAAAACAAGGTACATTCCTTACTCAAATTAATTGTCACGTATCATCAAATGTATTTTCAATGCATGGACCATCATGTTGCTTTGTTGAGGAGCTACACTCATTTAAAATGCACCAACCACAGGCTGCGTCTACACTGGCATGATTTTGCGCAAATACTTTTAACGGAAAAGTTCTTCCGTTAAAAGTATTTGCGCAAGAGAGCATCTATACTGGCATGTGCCTTTGCGCAAAAGATTGGCTTTTGCGCAAAAGCATCCATACCAGTGTAGACGCTCTCTTGCGCAAGAAATCTCCAATGGCCATTTTAGCTATCGGGCTTTCTTGCGTAAGAAATTAACGTTGCTGTCTACACTGGCCCTCTTGCGCAAGAATACTTGCACAAGAGGGCTTATCCCTGAGTGGGAGTGTCAGAGTATTTGCGCAAGAACCACTGATTTTGTAAAATCCTCGCGGACAGTGTAGACAGGCAGGAAGATTTTGTGCAAAATCTTGCCAATGTAGACACAGCCACAGTATTTAGGTAGCACAGCTGCAGAAGTCTTCTAGAATGGACTTGCTTTCCTAAGGGAGCCGACAGGGAGAACATGTGTGCTCAGAAAAGAAAGACCCCTTTATGAATCTGCAATGGAGGGAAGGCTACTTTCACTACCTCCCTCCTTTAACTTGTGCCTGGGCCAGCCACAATCTGGCCTATACCCTATAAGAGACTGATTTAGATCACTGGAAACTTCAAATGCTATAGCAGTTACAAAATTTAAGTATAGCACATCATTAAAGAAAAATATTTTTTCAAAGATAGAGGATGAGAGGAGATTCAGCATAAATCCTTCAATACAAAACAGCCATTGCCACTAAACAGACACTAATGAATAAAATGGAGCTTCTTTCTCCCTGGAAGAGAATATAGTCTATAAACAATTGCTAGAAAAATGGAATTTTCAGCATCTCATTGCTGAATGACATGCAAGGATGATCTAGATACTATAGATGCAGACAACCTTATTATTCACCTATCTCCCGCTTCTCACACACCCACGTGAAGTCCTATTTTCACAGGGTTTTCAAGAGCATCGTTAGAGAGCTTTGATAATCCGAGGGATTAGTGAGAGCCAGAGGGGAGCCAGACACATGATGCCCCACAACTAAAATACGCAGATGCTTCGCTTTGATCTGATAAGGCAATGAAAGTCTTTTAAACTGAAAAAAGGAAGCACTTTATACACTACTACAGTATGTTGGCTGCATCACAGCCACCGAAGGCCACATTGTTTTCAAGTTTGCTATGAAGACAGCTGGTCAAATAGTCTATTAAATTAATTTCCTCCCCTTATTCAGTTCATCTATATTCCTTGCCTCTTCTTAGATGTACCAAAACAGGAATAATGACTGGCCAAACTATACTTGCCAAGGGTTTCTTGTAGGTGAGATGCCAGGGTCTTCTCCGCTCCTCACCAGCCAATCATAACTAAATTTTGTGTTTCAGTGTGCCATTGGTGTTCCTTTGGGCCTCAAGGAACCCTTGAATGAGGTGAGGAGGAAGGAATCTCTCCCTGTAGACACCTGCAAAGGACTGCAGAAGGTGAGTTTTTCTCCTCCCTGAGCTTACAAGTATCTCAGAGAAGATACATTTGTTTGGAAACTACTCAAACCAGGTAAAATACCCAGGAGAATGCCTTTCCTGCCCTCACTTCTCAGAGTGGTGCCCCAACAATGAAAGCTGTGGAGGTAGTACTTGACTATATAATAATTCATAGAAACAACTGAATGGAAATAAAGTTGCACAAGCTCCCTTAATTCTGACACTGTCTAAATTTTGAGTACTTGACTTTACAACCTTAATGTTTCAAGTTATATGTTTTGTATGGTTTATCTGCATAAGCAGCAATCTATCCATGTGCACATGGAAACTTTCAAAATTGCATGAACTTATGAAAATCAATATACATTTGTGCGCACACAAATATACATGGACAACTTGTTGAAACATCAGGGTCATCACTTGGCAATTCCTATTCACATTTGCTGTCTGCATGTAAAGATTTGGAATCATGAGCATATGGTCTTACATCATTATTTATCTTCTGACAATGCTTCATTGTGCAAACATTTCACACAATTTAATGAAAGATGAATCCTGCCCCAAAGAATTTACAATCAATGTGTCCTAAGATAGTGAAAGACTAGAAATTTGTGTCTGTTGATAATGTGATGAAAGATTGAACTGGACACTTTTAAAAGCAGATGTGCCATCTTTTAGGTTATGTTACATATTCTTTCCTTATACAACTGTAAAAAGACCACTCCTAAATTGGTGAACTTATTTGTCTTGTGCATTTCTTTAAAGTTTTGGTTTGCCTTCTACAAGGTAGGTGAAAAACCTATTTTCAAAATATATGATGTATTCCCCATAGTTAACATTTTAAATGACAGAATATTCAGTTAATTATATCATGAATTGCCCTGAAAAGTACTGCCCTGGGCCCAGATCCCGAAATTGGATCCATGTGTCTGGACCTTCACCCATCCAGATCAACTGCAGAATTGAAGCCTTGAGGACCAATCATTAGGGTCTGATTACATGAAAATCACCACTTCGACATAGTAAGGATTGAAGAGTTCACACTTTTAGAGGATGCAGTGACTTGTTGAACCTCTGTAGTCCAGCAATTCTCTGGTATGGCAACATCTGTGTTCAGGCATGATTTCAGTTAGCAGATATCCATTGATGGGTGTGGCCTAGTAAAAGTTTGTTTACAGCCACCAGTCCTGGCTCTCAGTGTTCCTTGTTATTATTTAACTACAATTTACCCCTAAATGTCTTTTAATAGCCTAGTAACCATGGAAGAGTTGGAAATGCTGCTAGCAATATTGACCTTCTGTGGTTCAGCAAATTCTCTGTTTCTATGTTGATCAGGTCCCAAAGGTGCTGGGCTAGAGATGTTCAACCTGTACCAAATCTGGTAGAGCAAACTGATACTATAGAGAGAAGCACATTAGAAATGTACCGTCATCACAATTCAAGCAGCCCCAGTTTATTTATTATTTTTTATTGGAAATATTTTCAAGAGCTTTTTTTTTCTTTAAAAATATGTACTTCATCTTTTTCTTCTACCATAATTCCCTTTTCCTCCCTCTTCCCCCTGGCTCTCCCCACTACCCTTCTTTAATCGCTACCTTATGTCAAGTAAAAACAAATAAAATTATGATGTATCAATACATAACAATCACCAAATAGCATTTAGGAGCTTCTTATTCAGTATGTTATAAACCACTGCAATTAGTCCCATTTACTTGTCTGGGACTCCTCATATGAGCAACTATCTAAACAGCAATAAACAGGGTTCATAATTTGCCCTGTTATCTTTTATTTGTTGTAAATATTGTATTTCCTTTCCTTATCTTTTACCTTTTTCTATTGTTACTGTCTCCTGTGCTTGCAATGTCTAATATTAGGCTAGTTCCTGACACTCAACCTAAAGTCTGGATGTTACCTTATATCACAGATGTCCCCTGTTGACTTTAATAAGACTATTTGTGGAGTAACATATAATTTAATATGAGAAAAGGTATAAGAATACTTAAACTTTGAACTCTTTGGGGAAGGGATCAGTGTGAAATAATCAGTCCATTGAAGTCAATGGAAAAACTTCCAGGGACTCCTCTGGGACCAGAATTTCACCTCAGGTTTTTTATTTCTGTGACATATCAGGAATTATATCACACAGACAACAAAATGAAGCAATCCACAGCCAAACAACAAATAATAATACTCCATATTTGACAGGGGAAGACTTATATTCAAGGGATGCCTCTACAGAGATGGTTAAAATACTTTTGACTAAAAATTTCTGTCAAAAGTGAAATATTTTGTGGAAATGTCAATTGTAATGAAATTTTCTTCATATCCAGGATATTGTATGAATGTGAGGAGGAAAAAAAGGAACCAAATCACCTCAGAATTGTCAACAGCCTGGCAGTTAGCCCTCACTTGGGCTATGGGAACCCCAGATTTAAAAGATTACATTGTACTTAATTCAGGCAAAGAAATGGAACCAAGGTCTCCTCAATCACAGGCAAGTGCCCTACTCATTAGACAGTTGCATGTCCCACTATTGCATTTGGTGAAAAAATGTGAAAGGTTTCATTCTTATTCTGAATCAGCACAAAAATAAAATCTGAAATCTCAAAAATGTGTCACAAAACAAAATTCTTGGTTTTTGGCCAGCCCTCCTCCTCTCTACCACCTGCTTGGAACTGCATTCTGTCTTTGGGGCACAGTTGGAAGAAGTCTATTATAATTAACACTACTGCTG